ACACACACACACACACACACACACACACACACGATTCTAGGATTCTAGGCATGAGCAAAGAACTTGGTTCCAGCCAAAGCCAATCAAGGCAGCCTGAGGATGGCTGGGCCCGGCTGGGCTGCTGCAGGGGGGGCTCTCCACGGAGGCTACTCACCTTGGCAATAGAGATGGTCTGCTGCTCCATGGCTTCATGGATTGCAACACGGTCATCTTCTCGCATCTAAGTGGAAGGGAGAAATGTCATCAGACCTACTGAAGTGAGGAAGCAGGGAGCAGTGGCAGCAGGAAAACTAACAGCAGCCCCAACTCCTGAATACCAGCTCCATGCAAGACCAATGGCAGCGACCAGGTCACCTCTAATCATGGTAACAACAGTGTGGGCTTGCCTGTCTCCTCCACACTCTTCGGATATGGAAACTGAGGCTTCAGAAGTTAAGCAACTTCCCACTGTTACCCTAGAGCGACAGGCCCAGGGATTGAAAACATGTCTCCCAAGTCAGAGGTGATTTATGCTGGCTGAGCACAGGAGGTCACATACCCTGGTGCCACCCCCTTTTGGCTACTACCCACTTCATCAGACTCACCTTGTCAAACTCGTCAATACAGACGACCCCACCATCAGCCAGGACCATGGCTCCACCTTCCATGATGAAATTCCGGGACGAAGGGTCCCTCATCACCGAGGCTGTCAGTCCAGCTGCGCTGCTCCCTTTCCCAGACGTGTAAACCTGGGGTAGTGGGGAGGTGTCAGCGCCCAATAACAACTCCATGCTTTGGCCTCGGTAAATCAAAAAGACCCACTGAGGTTGTGATTTGCCCAAGGACACACATCAAAGCTGGCTGTAGGGTACAGAATAGTGCTTCTCCCTCTGGAAGGGGAGGCTGCCTTGGGCCTCGGTGTGCCCAGATGTTCTCCCTGCTGAGGGCATCACATCCATGACTCACCTGAGCCCCACCACAGCGCTGTGATACAGCCCTGTGGGGCCCGGCTCACAGATGAGCAAACTGAGGCCCAGAGAAGAGTCAGCCTCAGGGCTACGATGAGGACTCCTGATTCCCAGGGAAAGACTGCCCCCATCGTGGGTCCCTTGTCGTCTCTATATAGACCTGCATGCCACATACTGCCATTAGGCCCCTGAAACTGGGGGCTGAGATGTCCTAACTGAAATGTCCTTAAGTGCAAAACACGATTTCAAAGACTCAGGGCTTATAAGAATGTAAAGTATCTCAGTAATCTACATATCAATGTACTGAAAAGAGATTTTAGATATACCGAGTTAAACAGACTCTATTATGAGAATTAACTTCACCTGTTTTTCCTTTTTTCTTTCCCCTTCTTCCTTTTAAATTGAAACAGGGTCTTGGCTATATTGCCCAAGCTGGTCTCAAACTCCTGGGCTCAAGTGATCCTCCCACCTCCGCCTCCCAGGGAGCTGGGACTGCAGGCATGCACACCACCATGCCCAGCTACTTTTTACTTTCTTAATGTGGCTAAGAAGACATACATGGGCTGCATTTGCAGCTCACATACTTCCACTGGACAGTGCCAGTGTGGTAAACTTGGCACACTTCCTATCTATCCAAAGACCACCATCTTGCCCTGTACAACCCCGACACACGGATAAAAGTCAGACCCTCTCTGGCTCTGATCCCCACAGACCCATTCACCAATGCAGCAGAAGACCCAACTTATCAGACACTTGGGTTCAGTCACATCCTGCTCTAGCGCTTACCAGCAGTGAGACCTTGGGCAAGACACTTACCCATTCTGTACCCGAGTTTCCTCACCCATAAGACAGGGATAATTGTACCTACCACAGAGTTGAGGTGAAGACTAAGTAAATACATGCAAGGGACTTCAAGCAGTGCCTGGCCCTTCATTTTAGCTATTATTATTATTTTCTGAAACAGGGTCTCACTGTCACCCAGGATGGAGTGCAGTGGCACAATCTTGGCTCACTGAAACCTCCCCATCCTGGGCTTAAGTGATCCTCCCAATTCAACCTCACAAGTAGCTGGGACCACAGGTGCACACCACCAGGCCTAATTATTTTGTATTTTGGGTAGAAGCAGAGTTTCACCTTGTTGCCCAGGCTGGTCTCAAACTCCTGAGCTCAAGCAATCTGCCTACCTCGGCCTCCCAAAGTGCTGGTATTACAGGCATGAACCACCGTGCACAGGCTGATTTAAGCTCTTACTGATAACAATGCCATTATTCAGCAAATGGATAAACTGATGCTCAGGGAGATCGGGTGACTTACTCAAAGCCCGCAACCAATTACTGGCCAGGCTGAGACCCAAACCCTATCCTCTCAGTCCAGCATACTCACCCCTGCCCCAAACCTACATACACCTGTTGGCTCCTTTCTTCCTCCCATCTCCTCGGCTATCCTGACCAGTCAGGAGAAACGAGGAAGAGCCAGCCCACCACAGGTGTCCTGGGGACCCAGAGGCCCTGCCCTGCAGCCTTCCTCCTGCAAGCTAAGGTGGAGAAGGTTTCCCAGGCCACTCACCCCAATGGGTGAACACTTCTCCACAAACTTCAGAAGCTGGGACTTGGCTGTCCCAGGGTCCCCTAGCATCAGCAGGTTGATGTCTCCTCGGCGAGTAAGTCCATCAGGGAGCCTGGGGGAGGAAGGGTAGATGGACAAGGTGAGAACCCATGAGGGCATTGCATGTGACATCCAGTCACCACATTAGTGGGCTGGCAGTTGACTCCCTCAACTATCATGGGCCTCAGAGTTGGCAGGAAGGTAGGGGCTGTGGCCTGAGACCCATGTTCCTACCCAGCTCTGCAGCTCCCAAACCACGGTAGGTCTTGCCTAGCAATGAGGACACAGCTTGCCTCCCAGGAGAGAAGGGTTAAAGGAAATGGCTCTTACGGCTATGCTTAGGCACACCCAGCATCTGAGTAACGTTCCTCCCAGTTGGAAAAAGACACGGAGCTGCCCGTGGGCTGTGCATGGTGCGGCAGAACAAGTGCCATGACGGCAGGCTCCCGGCTCCCCTGCATGTGCTGGGGAGCAAGTCCCTTTAGCTCTCTATGCCTCAATTCCCTCATCTATAAAATGGGCACAATAGCTGTGTTCTCAACAGGTTACTATGAGGACTGACTGGGCTTCAGACACATAAAGTGCTTAGAAGAATGCCCGTGCATAAGGAAGAACACAGTAAATGATAACTGCTAATAATATCACTGCTACTGTCTATAACTCTATTATTTTAGTTTCAAAAGGACGCATAATGTCCTTTAAGAGTCAGGTTCTTCAACGGGCGCAGTGGCTCATGCCTGTAATCCCAGCACTTTAGGAGGATGAGGCGGGTGGATTACCTGATGTCAGGAGTTTGACATCAGCCTGGCCACCATGGTGAAACCCCATCTATACTAAAAATACAAAAATTGGCCAGGCATGGTGGTGCATGCCTATAATCCCAGCTACTAGAGAGGGGCTGAGGCAAGAGGATTACTTGAACCGGGGAGGCGGAGGTTCCAGTGAGCCAAGATCGCACCACTGCACTCCAGCCAGGGCAACAGAGCAAGATGACATCTCAAAAAAAAAAAAGGCAGATTTTTAACTATTGCATTCATTGGAAGCTTGGGTTCAAAAAAAGTGACTCTCACTCCAGGCTGCACAGTCGATATGCAGCGGAGCTGAGACCTGCATGACCAAGCTCAGTGCTCTCCCACTGCACTTGCCAGGTCCACAGTCCACCCCCTAGCCAGGGTCAGGGCATCGCTGTAACAGGTACACAGATCAGCCACCAGCCAGCTGATGACAAGCCTGGGGGCTGGCAAAGGTGCCTGGCAGACTGAGGGGCCAGGAAACACACACAAAAAATACTCACTCCTGATTATCCACTAATTGTCCTACTGTGAACCCCGTCACCGGCCCCCTCCCCAAACCCAAGGGAACTCAGTCCCCCTACCTCTTTCGGGATCCCCCAAAGAGCAGGCAGGCAATGGCCTTCTTCATGTCCGTGCCCCCAAAGATGGAGGGGGCGATGCTCTTGGAAATGACCTCATAGACATTGGGGAGGGCGGCCAGACGACGGAACTCCTCCTCCTCCTGTGGGCTCACAGCCCCAGCAAAGCTGCGGCCTGGGTAGACAAAGCAAGCACATGAGTAAGTGCAAGGGCACCTCCTCCAGCCCACTGCCTGTCCTGGCACCAGCTCAGGAACTCTCAGAGGGCAAAGTCCTTAGGGCCAGGACAATACAACCTATCTAAGAGATCCCAGCTCTCAAGCCATCAAGCGTGGGCCTGGTGTGTTCCAAAGAGTGAGGGGAAGTAGGCAGGGGGTTCTGAGGAAACCAAGGGCCAGATGGCACAGGACCTTGAAAACCACTGGAAAGTCTCCCCTTTCAGCCGAGGAGTTATCTAGTGTATTGGTCATGACAGCATCGCTCACTGGCTGCTGCGGAACAGAAAGGGTACAGGCAAGGTGGAAATGGACACTGGGGAGGACTAACAGTGATCCAGGGAGACCCAGGGAGAGCCAACGAGGGCTCAGAGCAAGGCGGGGAGGGTGAGAAGTGGTCAGGGTGATCCAGGGAGGGCCGATGAGGGCTCAGAGCAGGCGGGGAGCGCTGGACACGTTTTGAAGGTGGAGCCGGCTAGAGCTGCTGACTGATTAGATGTGGGGGATGAAAGAAAAGGGAATCATGGATGACTTGGGGGTTTCTGTCTGAACAACTGAAAGGGTGGAGATGGGAAGACTGAGAGGAACCAGTCTGAGCGTGGGGAAAGGGGAGCTTAGCTTCAGCCATGTAAAGTTTCAGGTGCCTTTCGATGTCTAAGTGAACACAGCAAGTCAGCAGGTGGTTATTAAAGTCTGGAACATGGGGAGATGCCCAGGCTAGAAATGGGAATGTGAGAGCTACTTGCCCATCAGTGGTTTTCAAGTTGTAATAATCTAGGTAGTTTGTGTAAATGTGGGCCATGGAAGGAGCCCTGGGGAAGCCACCCCTCCAAATCAATTCACTACAGCCAGAGGGCCAAAACAAACCTGAAAACCCTCAAAGCGGTCCCTGCTGCCCTCAGGTCTAAGTAGGAGCTCCCCATCTGGGCACTCAAAGCCTCTTACACGGCCTGATCCCTCATCCCCTGGACTCCCACTCACCCTCCAGCCACTCAGCACCTTGCCCAGGCTGGGGTCTTCACCTGCTCCTGCCATCCCCTCCTGCCTGGAAATTCTTCCATGCCCACCACTCTTCAAAGCCCAGCTCAGATTCCCCTCCTTCCAGAAAGCCTTCCCCAAGGCCCAGCCCACACCTCCTCCTTCTCCGACCTCCTTTAGCACCTCCTTGGAATTTCGTGGCCCACATCTGCTGCCACTTTACCCACATGTCCCCAGGGGTCTCACAGTTTTCTTATTTCTCCAAATAAGCACTAGACACCTCCTGCCCGGAACCCCACATTTCACTTCTCTTGCAACTGCTGGCACAGATGTGAAGATGTGACATTCAATTATTCCCCAGTGATTTGACCTGAGTACTTCTGCCTTAATCCTGCACTTAGGCAGACACCCTCAGCCCAGGAGCCACAGCTAGAACCAACATGTGGAAGTTCCAGGGATCACTTAATATAAAAATGAACATTCTAATAACAAGAGCAACACAAGGATATCCTGGGCTACCTCATGAAGTAATGAGCTGCCTGCTACCAGAAGTGTGCAAGCACAGCCTTTTGGCAGGGCTGAGCCAGGACCCCAAAGCCAACTCACCAGAGCCATCTGTGTCCACCTGGATGCCCAGGACACGGATGTAGGAGCTTCGGATGCCCACGCCCACCCTGTCACGGCCCCTGCTGGAGGTCAGGCCAAACTTCTTGATGGAGTAGATGCCCATGATGGTAACCCTGCTTCCAGGGACAACCTTGTCACACAGGTACCAGAAAAGAGAAAAGGTGAGATTCTGACTGGGACAGCAAGTATCTGATCCCACCATCCCCACGACACTCAGGGTCCACCTCAGCATTTTTGCCACGGGCACCACCACATGCTGAGCTGGCTCCATCCCCATGGGGCCCAGACAATGGCCTCTCTCCCCCTCATCACCAGCCGTGCTCAGCTGCTTGGAGGATGGTGTTGCCAATGGTGACAGCCAAACAGAAAGGCAGGTGGTGGCCTGACTCTCGCTGAACTTGGTAACTCACTTGTATGCTGGTTTAGAAGGAAGCTTAGTGCCAGCCCACAGAGCCCTCCAAAAGTCCCAGCTCCATGTGTCTGCTGTCAGGCTTGCTGTGTGGCGCCCTTTAGCCTCTCAGAGCAGGACTTCCTCCTCATGCCCTCCAGCCTCCTTGAGGGGCCACCCGCCCTTTTTGACTCTTCATGGCTCTGTGAACTTGTTTTGCCTCTGGCTTTTCATTTCCTCTTTTAAAAATGAGATGTTGGCTTCTCCGAAAAAACACCAAATGGCGGATGATGCCGGTGCAGCGAGGGGGCCTGGAGGCCCCGGGGGCCCTGGGATGGGGAACCGAGGTGGCTTCCGCGGAGGTTTTGGCAGTGGTATCCGGGGCCGGGGCTGAGGCCGCGGAGCTCGCGGAGGCAAAGCTGAGGATAAGGAGTGGATGCCTGTCACCAAGTTGGGCCGCCTGGTCAAAGACATGAAGATTAAATCTCTGGAGGAGATCTATCTCTTCTCTCTGCCCATCAAGGAATCTGAGATCATTGACTTTTTCTTGGGGGCCTCTCTCAAGGATGAGGTTTTGAAGATTATGCCGGTGCAGAAGCAGACCCGTGCAGGCCAGCGCACCAGGTTCAAGGCGTTTGTTGCTATTGGGGACTACAATGGTCACGTCGGTCTGGGTGTTAAGTGTTCCAAGGAGGTGGCCACTGCCATCCGTGGAGCCATCATCCTGGCCAAGCTCTCCATTGTCCCCGTGCGCAGAGGCTACTGGGGGAACAAGATCGGCAAGCCTCATACCGTCCCTTGCAAGGTGACAGGCCGCTGTGGCTCTGTGCTGGTGCGCCTCATCCCTGCGCCCAGGAGCACTGGCATTGTCTCTGCACCTGTGCCCAAGAAGCTGCTTATGATGGCTGGTAGCGATGACTGCTACACCTCAGCTAGGGGCTGCACTGCTACCTTGGGCAACTTCGCCAAGGCCATGTTTGATGCCATCTCTGAGGCTTACAGCTACCTGACCCCCGATCTGTGGAAGGAGACTGTATTCACCAAGTCTCCCTATCAGGAATTCACGGACCACCTCGTCAAGACCCACACCAGAGTCTCTGTGCAGAGGACCCAAGCTCCAGCTATGGCTACAACATAGGGTTTTTATACAAGAAAAATAAAGTGAATTAACATTGCAAAAAAAAAGTGAGATGTTGAAATAGGGGAGTCTCCAAGTCCCTCAGCAGAGCCAGTGTGGGGTGGAGGGACACTTACTTAGTAGCTGTGTGACTTCAAAGAAGTCACTGCACATCTCTGAGCCTAGGGGGATGATAAAGTGATCTGCCTCTGCTGTTTGAGGCAGCAGACACAGAAGTGCTTTATACCATCAGGTTTCACAGCTCCAGAAAAGACCGTCACCATCACTGTTAATATTCCATGAGCCTCCAACTCCCCTCTTTCCATACCCACTTTGTAAGTTTTCAGGATTCATGAACTGCTTGGAAAAATCATACATCCTGAGTACGTAATGTGCATGAAGGAATGGTGCTAAACACTTGACATGCATTTTCAAGCAGCCCTCTGAGAGATTAAGCAGTGTCCATATCCCCATTTTACTGATGAGAAAACTGAAGCTGGACAAAGTCACGGAACTTGCCCAAGAGAGCAAGAGCCTGACTCCTACACACTCTATTGCCACTAACGAAGTTAACGGAAGCTATGGATCCGCTCTCCTCAGAACATGCATGCAATTTCAGGATATGCAAGCCCGGGTTAGAACCCTAATCAAAGACCTCAAAACCTTTCACCCAGGTTACTACGAGAGGCCCGGGCCCAGGCCCTGGCTCCGAACCCCCTCCCCCTCCATAGAATCTTTTTTCTTCCTTTTTGAGACAGGGTCCCCCTCTGTTGCCCAGGCTGGAGTGCAATGGTGTGATTGCAATGCAATGGTGCGATCTCAGCTCACTGTAACCTCAACCTCCTGGGCTCATGTGATTCTCCCACTTCAGCCTCCCAAGTAGCTGAGACTATAAGCATCTGCCCCAACCCCCAGCTAATTGGAAAAAAAATGTCTTTTTAGATACAGGGCCTCACTGTGTTGCCCAGGCTGGTCTTGAACTCCTGGCCTCAAGCAATCCTCCTGTCTCAGCCTCTCCAAGTGCCGGGATTATAGGCACGGGCCACCATGGCTGCTCAGCAGAATCTTAACAGAAAGCCTGGGGTAGGAGGTGGAGTGTCAGGCTGGGAAGAGGCTTTCCCAATTATTGGTTATCTAGCTGTGCATCTTGGACCTCTTATCACAAAAGAACATAGACTTTGAAAAGCAACAGACATAGGCTGAAAGCCCGGCTGTCCTCCACACAGGAAATCATTTACCCTCTCCAAATTACATTTTCTCATCTGCAAAATGTGGTTGACACACCCCTGCAGATCATGGAAAGATGAGAGGAACTTATGGAAGCAGTAGGCATAGAGCAAGTGCTCTGCAACTGGCCACCTTCTCCACCCCACTCACCCTGTTCCAGATGACCCACTCCCAACGCTCGGGTTAGGGCCGTAGCTGGGACACCCACCCTCACAGATGCCCACCTCCCGGCCCGTCTGCCTCACCTGTCGCAGTACAGCTGCATGTGTCTGGGCATCTCACCGTGGGGGACTGCATCAGGCAGCTCCTGCAGCTTCAGGGTCTGGAAGTCCACGCATTTGCATTTGTCGGGCATGATGAAGTATGGGTCCAGTGGGCACTTGGGGCGCCCAGCCTGATCTCTGTACAGGGTTAAGGGAAAAGAGTCACCAAAGCTACCTTGAGAATCCAAAGGCAGGGCTCATTCATCCCAGGAGTCAGCAGAGACGTTGCCAGCAGCAATTTATGGTCTCCTGGATAAGCTGGAGATAAGCCCTAAACGAAGGCAACTCTGAGGGACCTAGCACTGGATTAGACCCAGTGGGTCTCTAGAAGCAGCTGCAGGCGATGCTGATTGTTCTCATTTCTCTGATCTCCACTCAGGTCACCTCCCACAGTCCCTTTTGGCCACACACTCACGTGTTGCACTTCCTGGGCAGGGCATAGCCCTCCAGGCCAGGGCGCATGGCAATGTTGGTGAGGGTGTTTCGGCAGCTGCGGCACTGGATAGAGATGCGGGTGGCCTTGGCACGGACCGCCGAGGCTGCAATGATGATGCCGGGGATCTTCACCAGATGTGACATCATGTCTGACTGTAACAGAGCCATCGGGAGGCTTGCTGGTTAAGGGGAGCCAGAACACACCTGAGATGTGCGAGTAAATGTCCTGGGCAGCGGCCTGGAGGAGGTGGGCACAGAACTGCAGGGAGGGGCACAGCTCTTCTGTTTGGCTCAAAAACTGCTTCCAGTGCATCAACCCAATGCCAGGCTACATGGACCCAGGGATTCAGAGGAGCCTCAGGCACAGGTCTTGCTTTTAAGGACCTTGCAGCACAATGCGGTAGGGGACAAGAGATACACAAAGCACATTTCACTACAAAGTGGCAGGTGCCAGGAGAGAGGCCTGAACCCTAACTCTGATGGCAACATCCACAGGCCTGCAGAATACCACAGAGAACAAACCTGAGGGACAGCGGCCCATGTTCAAGCTCCGTCAAAACCTGCTATGGGGTCTCTTCTCTTTGAGCCTCAGTTTCCCCATCTTAACGACTATTCCCACATTGGACAATAAGGCAATATTAACTTTTAAGTGTGATGTTATTGTAGCTCTGCTTTAAAAAATGATTCTTCACATGATCGCGTTTTTGCTGTACATTACATGAAAAGAAAAAAGAAATAAGGTTCTTCAAAGACAAGGTATGATGGCTCACACCTGTAATCCCAGTACTTTGGGAGGGCAAGGCAGGCAGATCACCTGAGGTTAGGAGTTTGAGATCAGCCTGGCCAACATGGTGAAACCCCATCTCTACTAAAAGTACACAATTTAGCTGTGTATGGTGGCACATGCCTGCAATCTCAGCTACTCGGGAGGCTGAGGCAGGAGAATCACTTGAACCCAGGAGGTGGAGGTTGTAGTGAGCTGAGATAGTGCCACTGCACTCCAGCCTGGGTGACAGAGCAAGACTCCATCTCAAAAAAAAAAAAAAAGTTCTTCATCTTTTAGAAATACATGGCAAAATAGTTCCAGATGAAATTATATGATGTATTGGACTTCTTTTTCTTTAGTAGAGCCAGGGTCTCAAAATCCTGGCCTAAAGTAATCTTCCTGCCTCAGCCTCCCAAAGTGCTAAGATTAGAGGCATGGCCACCACGTGTGAACTTACTTTATTCTTTAGCAAAAAATAAAAAGGACAAAATAGCAAACAACACAAAACGTTAATTATTAAATCTAGGTGAAGCTGTATGGGGTTCATTACACTACTCTCTGCTTTTGGGTAATTTTTTATAATAAAAAGCCAAAAACAAGAGAAGCTCCTTTTGTCGCCAGGAAGAGACAGGTTCAGAAAGGTCAAGTGCCTGGTTCAAGGTCACATAGCTAGCACTCAGGTCTGCCTGTATCCAAAGCCCTCTGCACCATGCAGCAGCCACTGCCACCCTCCAACTGGCTTCTCAGTGGACCCACCTTCAGGCTACGAATGCTGGAAGGGCTGGCGTCCGACTTGAGCATGACCTGGATGTCCTGGAGCACCTCCTCACCAGCAGGCCGGGGCCGGGTGACCTCATCAGCCACCTCCTTGGCAGCTTCCTCCAGCTAGAGAAAGGGAAAGGCACAAGCTGTTAGTAACTGGGGCAGAGCAGCCCTGGGGAGCTCAGAGGTGGGGTCCCACTCACCAGCTGCAGGTGCTCGGCTGGCTGCTTGTACAAGTGGTCGGCCAGGTCTTCATCAAAGCTGGCCAGATCCTCCATCTCCACCTCAATCCAGTACTCCCCGAGGTTGTAATGCCGCTTGAGTTCATCCCTGGAGTGGGCATGTGGGGGCAGGAAGGGTACAGAGAAGAGGAAACCAACAACAAAAAAATTTTTTTGGCTGAGGTGTGCCTGCACCCCTGAATCTGCCCACACCACAGCCACCACGACCTCATGATTCCTCATGATTCCTCTTCCCAAACACACATCTAATTCCAGATCATCCCATTATTTAACCCTTCAGAGGCTACTCACTGCTGGCACAGACGTGCCCTAAAGAAAGCTCCATGGAAGGGATCCACAAGATAGTCAAAGGATGTTCCAACACTCAGGCCAGTGTGCACAAAACAGCAACCCAGTTCTGTCACTGAAGGACCCTTAAACTGAGTCTTGGAGACAAACAAAGCACACACTTAAAACCTGGGGCCGGGCGCGGTGGCTCACGCCTGTGATCCCAACACTTCTTTTTTTTTTTTTTTTT